AAGCCGCCGACGGCCCAGGATGTGATGGATTCGCGCTCCCGGCGTGAGCCCCGGCGCTCAGATTTGAGCGCGCCAAGGTCCAGCCGTGGGCTCGCCGAAGCGCCCTGGTGGATCTACAAACACTGCGAAAAGACATGCAAACTTGCATATGTATATATATATATACATACATAAGCTCATACATGTGTGCATAGCTGTCTAGCTATCTGTATGTGCATATATATATATGTATACACATATATGTATGTATGTATGTGTATGTATATATATATATATGTATAGAGAGAGAGTATACATATACATATATGTAAATCAGAAGTCACACAAGTATAAATATTAGTTTACACCGTCCTAACCATGCATACAAAAGTACAACCATGCATGGATGCATGCATACATCTATAATTATGTGTGTCTAATTATTGCGCCTCAATGCATACAGACGAGTAAAAGTGATGGCACGGCATATACATGCACACGTAGGAATATATTCACGTCTCTGCACATGCACAAACACGGACATACATGCACACACACACACAAACAAACATCTACACATATATATATACACACACATTCATGCATACAATTATGCATACTTGCATCGACGAGAAGACATTCACAGGCAGGTACTCGCATGCACGCATAGATGTGTATATAGACACCTATATCCCTATATATATATATATCTATATATAGATATGCATATACATACACTATAAAATGAAAATGAACAAATGGACACACATATGTATATGGATATACATACACATACATGCGTGTGTGTATATAAATATTGTATATGTACGTACGTGTGTGTGTGTGTGAATGAATGAATGAATGATAGCGCATGCTTTACATGATTACGAAATATTTCGAATATCGGAAGGGCTTTCACGGAATGCACGAGCTCATCAACAAATTATGATGGCTGCTCCTGCTAGCAATACAACCAAGGCATGGTCTTATGGAACAACATATTGTCATCCTCCTACCGCTGCTGGTGCTGGTGCTGGTGCTGGTGCTGGTGCTGCTGCTGCTGCTGCTGCTGCTATGGCTACCGCTACCGCTATCGCTGCTGCTACAACTACCACGACCACTCCTGACAAATTGCTCCTGCTGCTGTTGCATTGCGACGACCGCCGCAACTGAGATGCCGCCAAACCAGAGTGCCCCAAGCCAACAGTCGCGTCCAAACCATTTCTGAGCTCCGTGCCCTGCCAGGTTCTCTGCTAATGGAGGCGGCTGCAGCTGCCAGTAGAGCTGCCGACGGCGCGGGAGCAGCCAAAGTGCCTGGTTGAACTAGGGCTTGCAGATTGGAGTCTGAGTCTGAGACCGCATGGCTTGAGATTACGCATGTTCAGTCTAGTCTGAATAGTCGTGACAGATGCGGTTTTCAGTTTATGCCGACAGCGATACGTGACGACTCAACATGTGGGAGTGCTTGCACCTCAGGGTTGTATGCTCTTTGGTGTGGGGCTCATTATTGATCTATTCGAGGAGTACCATCTGAAGGCGAACGGCTGAACTCTTCTAGTGGTTACTAGGGCCAAGCAGAGCGATCACGTCGCTAAGGTTGAATCTGAGACCAGTTGCCTGCTGCCGGCCGCGGAGGAGCAGCTGAAGCTGTTGTCATGTTCATGCTGGACCTTGCTTGCTTACAAAATCGCGGCTTTGCATACGGAGCTGTCTGTTGACAACACAAGGGCAAGCAAAGCTACGGGTACAATGGGAGTGGCAGAGTGCAGTCCAGTCATGTTCCAGCCCTGCCCTATCTGCACGTCAATTCAAAAGAACCAACCAGCATTCTAATCCAAAAGCCTGAGCATGATGGTCATTGACAAGAGCAACGAGAGCACTCGTTTCAACTTGGCGCTGCTCAAACCAATGAGTTGCTCAAGTCGGTGGCCTGCGAAAGAGCCGCGCGAGAGGGTCAGCGACGACCAAGCTTTTCCGAGCCTTGTGTGCAGCACAACCAGAAGGAAAGCACCGCCTGCGCCACATAAACCGTAGACGTGTAAATCTCTAAACCCTGACGTGCTACTTCGTACTACCCCTTGACATTAAAGTCACAAACATACAGGCCCTAAAAAACCCAAAACCTAAACTCAGAACACACAAGTGGCAAGGCCAAGCGCAGCGCCCGAATCGGTTCTTTTGTGGCGGTTAGCCCCGGCTCTACAACTCTAGAACTCTACAGGTCTACCGCGCTACATCTCTACAGCACAACAACAACAGCAGCAGCAACGACGACGACGACTACTACTACTACTACTACTACTTCTGCTACGACGACGGATACAACTGCTACCGCTACTGCAACTACTAGTGCTATCTACTTCTACGGTTGAAGATGTTGTTGCTGATGTTGTTGCTGTTGCGACCACCAGTCCAACTACCACCAGCACTCCAATATCACTACACTTCCACCTTACTACCATCAGCGATGGTAGCAGGACCACTGCTCCTTCGGAAAACTGCTGCAGTTGTTCAATATCCCCTCCTTATGACTGTCAGTAATGCCGAGCTGGTCGCGGATTGAGGCCCGTCCTGACCACCTGCACACCGGTTTTTCGCTGTTGCGTTCGGCTGGGTCAAGCTGCTTTGGGTCCTTTCGCCATTGAATACGCATGGTCAAGCTTCTCTGCAGACATTTGTTGAGACCCCGGAATCCAGCTCAGATGTTCGACAATGCTCAGATATCTCCGAAACTACGCTGTTGCTTGTATGACCGTCTTGTACTAATTATCACAGCAAGTGCAGTGGCCCTTGGAACCCAGCAACAACATCCGAATCCTCCTTTAAGTGCTCCCCAAGCAGAATAGCCCGCTTCCCACCCCCCACCGGAACTTGTCAGCCCGAAACCGCGCAGCTCTTGGAGCCGCGTCGGGCGCCGAAGGAGCTCCTCGGTGAGGCCCCATGCGATGAGTAAAGTCAAGGACTGTCTCATGGACCACTGCTTGAATATGGAAAGCCTCTAAATAAGAGTGCCTCTATGCCGTCAACTCCCAACTTAGCTCCTCCAGCCGCTCCGGCTTTTCTTGCGGCATCTTCCGAGAAGTACTCGGGGCAGACGGACCTCGGCGAGTGCTCAAACTTGACTCTGACTTCATAGCGGTGGCAATCCGGGCGGACTCAGCAGGTGTAGAAATACGGCATCCGACCTTCTTGTTGTTTGCAAACTCTTCGATCGAAGTCCACTGGAACTGAAACACCTTGCATTCCGCAAGTGGCCTCAGACTGCTAACAATCCGAACCCATCCCGCTCCTTTCATGGGCACAACGGGAACTAGGTTGCTCAATCGCCATCAGCCGGAGGCTTCTGTACCGAGGGTGCTAGACTTCTAACTAGCTCATGGAACCTGAAAAAGAGGCTGCTTGATGCCAAAAACTGAGAAAGCAGCTCTGCACATCTGGAAGCCATGGTCGCATCCATGATGGCCTCCGGAGCTGCTGACACTGATGATACTTGCAAGACTACTCGGCCAAACTGTCCACATCGCCTCGTTGACTAATTGTAGCACTCTTCACCATCATGACCAGCATTGTCATGATGATGATCATCGTTACGGTCGCGGAGGCAAGAGCTCAAAAATAATGATGCCAAGGCTTTGATCAGCTCTCTGCAGCAAATCTAAGGACCTGCTGACAAAACCGATGTGCTTCAGAAAATCCTGCACTTTACGAGCTGCGCCTGGAAGCGGCGGTGGCCATAAGCGACGGGAGAGGTGGAAAGTAGCAGAGGTGGAGCCGGGCGGGGGGGGGGAGGGCCACAGTAGTTTGGGATAGTTTGGGTCCTGCTTGTTGCATGCTTGCAAACTTGGGTTTGGGGTCCACGACTAAGGTGGTGTTTCGCGAGGCTTCCTCTGCCCTTGGGTTAGGAGGAGGCTCGGGCTCGGGCATCCATGCTCCATTGGGCCAGGGTCCACTTCCGTGTATGTCTGTGAGTCAAAGATCATCGAGTCCACAGCAAAACAAGCAACACTGTACAGTAGTGTTTGACTCTATCTACTCTGCATGTTCTGCAATCTGTGGGTAGACGGTTGACAGGATGAGCTATGAGGCATTGACCCCCGGCAATGCTCATGGATCCTTCCTACAGAGGGTTTTGGGATGTAGTATACTATTGTGTAAGTATTGTAAGTATATGGCTACTATCAGTAGTGATGATTCCAGAAGCTTGAAAAAGTTGCAAGCGAACCCCAGCTTCGTTCGAAGAGCCCTCGGAACCGTCAAACCCTTGTAGGATAGTAATTCATGTGTGTATGTAACCATGCATGTACTTATGTATGTAATCGTATATATGTGTCGATGTCTTCATTTACATACGTATGCCGATGGAAAGTCAAGCGGTTTGTGTTTAAAAACAGTGGGTGCTTCATAAAGCAATCGGAAAGCCTGCAACTTCAGGACACCTGTCCGAAAGGTCTGCTTTTTTGCATCATCATCAATCCCGCGCTACCCGAGGTCTTGAAGGCCTTTGACATCGTCAACTCCTGAGTTGGAAAAAGAGTTTTGAGCGGCTTGGGGCTTTCGGTGTAGGGTCGGCTTCGGAGTTGCGGGAATGCTTGAGTTCTCTGGTGCAACTGAGTTCAATCGCAACCACTAGGCATACATCCGGAAAACGGCGTGAACTGAAAGTAAGATCTGAACGTTGGAGTCATCGGGAAATAACATCAATCAGCTGGCCGTGGTTAACCAAGCTGGTTGCGCATTGCATGCTGGTGGAGCACGGCCGGATGTGTCTGCCCTGGTTGTATCAACCGGCCCTGGCAATGCCAAAACTAACACTCATCTACACAGTTGTATACCATGATTCATTGTTGCGTTTTGCAAGGTGCAGTCATGGGAGTCCCCTGTACAGTAGAAGCCCAAAAGTTGGAAACCCAATAGCCTCAATACTCAAGAGCAATGTAGTGGGTATCCCAGCACGATATGTCCTTAATCCGTTTCCAACTTTTTGGGGTTTACTGTAGGGTGATCATATTTCGGTAAGGGTCTTCGATCTTGGCTCGCACCAAGGCTTTCGCCAACTTCCAGTTGTCGCCCACCACACGGACACCTGAGGCGGAAGCGCCCGACAGGAAGAAGTTTTCAATGGACGTGTGGTCCGACAGGTGATGCCGACGACAGTCACCGTTACCATGAGCACTGTGCTTGAACCGGTCTTCGTGCTGCTAGTGGTACTTGTTGCGACAATGGTGACGGCGCTGCACTGAACATGCTGGCTGCTATGGTTACTGGGCTTCAACAGACAAGGCCAAAGCTTCGAGACGCAAAGTAAGTGAAGCTGTTGTGCTGTAGTTGTTACTATAGTACTATGAACCAGCTATGGATCAGATCTTCTTTCCAAGACTTGCAAAAGCCGTTGGCAGTGGGGATATTCTGGAACCAGGCGTTGACAGTTTCGACCTCAGCACTGCTCCCGCCATTCTAAGTGCAGAAACACTGCAAGTGAGACCTTCTGCGCCGACTGCCTATTTCAGTTCCATGACGTTGTACCAACCCGAAACCGCCGCTGCCGCCGTGCCTGTGTCCAAGACGACCGCCCGTGAAATAGAGCACTTCCATGCTCTATCAAACTTCCACCAAAGAACCCAAACAAGTGTGAGCTCATGCTTGTCATGCTTGGAGTCGAGCCTTGCATACCACCAGGAGTTGCAGATGGCTGTATGGTGATGGACACCTGGCCGCCACACCTGCGACAAAGAGCTTGGGCACTGCTCTAGATTTGACGCTTTGGGGGCCCGGAGTTCAGGGTTCAGGCTCTGGGGTTTCTAGAGGCTTCGTCATGGCCCGGTTTAAGTCCTTGATGCTTTGGCTGAGCAGGGGCTGGATGGATGTACTCGATCACCGTCATGCAATCATTATTATCATTCGTTGGCTTTGCTTCGAATTGTTACAGTAACCACTATCTTATCTTCGCCAACAGCACTCGGGGTGTGGGGGTGTGTTTTAGAAGTTCTTGTGCGTAGTTAGCTTGAAGGCTCGCTCTCGTGATTGTCAGAACATGGGATGGTGGATCGAACGCCCAGGTATAGACGTCCATCAAAGGGAAAGACCGCTCCACCCGATGCCGGAACACCATAGGTAGTGCCTAGTCGCTCAATACATCCTAAATAACCGTAGCAATTGTTCCTATAACTACTCATGCCAGTCAGGGTAGACCCGCAGTGAAGGAGCACCGGCCGGTGGCAGGAGCACGATTTCCACGCCACAAGAATGCGCACTTGCCTCTGGCGACTCTGACGCCAGAGGGATCGAAACACTTCTGGAGCGCCGAAAAATCGATTTAGAACCGGTTGGGTGTCGCGTGCCGACTGCGGACATAACTCGGTTTGAATCCAAAACTGTACCACGCCACAGTAGGAGCACGGAACTCCAGGCCCGCCTACTGCGGGCATCTAGGACAGTGATTTAATCACTCTACTCCTGACGCAGAAGCCCCACACTGTTACCACATTCTGTTGGAGACTGTAACTCGTAATAACGGAGTCATCATCATCATCATCATCAGCATCATCATCAGCAGTCATCAGCAGCAGCAGGATCATCATGATCACAATCAGGTCTTTTCGTACTCTGTGCCATTCCGTGCCTCTCGCGGAGATCCTTGATGGTCTCGCCGCCCTTCCCAATGAAGAGCCCGACCAGATCTGCTGGAATTTTCACGTCCTCCTGCCAGTGTTTAAGGTTTAGGGTTTAGGGGTTTAGGGGTTTAGGGGTTTAGGGGTTTAGGGTTTAGGGTTTAGGGGTTTAGGGTTTAAGGTCTATTTCAGGTGTATGCACATGGTTGGCGCAGCATCTGTAGGTGCACTGCTTACAATCCATGCCTGCAGCATCTGTAGATGTACAGGTATACATATGTACATGTGTATAGCTACATATATGCACACATACATATGTACACGCACATATACATTACACTGCACTGCATGACACTACATTGCATCGCATCGCATCCCATCGCCTTACAGAATAGCGCAGTACAGCACAGCACAACAAATCGCATTACAATCATACATCAAGTAAGCGCACACACACACGCATGCATGCATGAATGTATACAAACAATCGAACATGATAAACATACGTGATACATACATGATACATACATACAGTACATACAGACAAACATACAGACAGGTGTACATACATACATACCTACCTACATACATACATACATACAGGCAGGCAGACAGACAGACAGGCAGAAAGACCGACGGACAGAAAGACAGACAGACAGCCAGGCAGGCAGGCAAACAGACAGACCAATATACATTACCTACCGACCTACCTACATGCATGTACGCATACATGTGAACTGACTTTTCATTTCATACTTATTAATTTACATGTACACATGTTTTTGTATGTATGAGTAGAAATATATGTACGTTAACATACATGTGTATGAACATATTTCCATGTATGCATGTACCTTGATTGAGCCCATGCTAGACCTTTTATGTGTCAGTTGCTTGAAAGCAACGATATTTGCGTTTTCTCACACGAGACTTCGACCGCTGCATGCAGTGACTGTAAGAAGCTCTTCACACATAGCTGGAAATTTTCTACTCAAACACCGCCAACGTCAGAGCCTCTTCACTCTATCACTCCCCTTCGCTCAATCCGTTGACTGAAGCCCGCCGCCTCACTTTGCTCTGCAAGCGCACCAGTCGGGGTCCACTTGCCTCAGAGCGAGCATCGGCTACGATCCTGGCAGTCACTGGCTCGAAAACTGTTTTGTTTCGGCCATCAGTTTTCTTACATGTCCCCATTGGCTTTTGGTAAGAGCATTAGTGTTTTCAATTGGATGTCTGTGCAATACGCAGAAGACAGATCATATCATAACATGCCAAATCATACCATAAACACTTGGGACAGTTGATGTGTCTGTGCAGCAGGCTGTTGAGTCTTCTTGTAGCCTGCCGGTCGAACCCTAAAACTTTGGGAATGGCCGAACATGCTGGTCACTTTGAAGGGCTCTGTGCTGCGAGGAGGGAAGCGAGCCCGAAAAAGTTACATACCGTATTGGTAGCAACAAGCAGCTGGTGCATGCGCGCACGCACAAACACAGACAGACAGACAGACAGACAGACAGACAGACAGACAGACAGACACACACACACACACAGAGCCACCCAGCCACCCAGCCACCCAACCGCGCACGCACGAACGCAGGCACCCTGGCACGCACGCACGCACGCACGCACGCGAGTCGGTGTCTCAAGGTTCAGTTACGAAATCACGGATCCTATTATAGACCCCCAATTCGACATCAGCCGGCTTTGCGTGGAACAATTCCCCTAAAGCGTTGCAAGGCCTGAGATGCTCTCTCCCAAATGCAGCTCGGTGGCAGCCTCTCGCCCGGAAGATGTCTTGAATCACCGCTTCCGCTCTTTCCTGAACCCCATGCTGATGGTGGGGAGGGAGGGCCAATGAGGTTTTGATCTTTGGGGGTTAAAGTTTAGGGCCCAAGGTACAAGCAGACAATTCAATTTTGAGGGCTTGGGGCTTACAGTGTAACGTTTAAGAGTCTTCAGGGCTTACGAGAGTTATCGACAGCTTATTCAGACTCCTGGAGCTTCCTGAACCGGCCGGGCGTCGATGTCTCCCACCACCGAGATGCTTCCCTGGGGTTCATGAGGCAAGTGATTCCTTACTCGGCCAGCTGAGGAAGCGAAGGGTGCCTTGTATTCACCCCTACAACCCAAAAAGCCTAAACGCTGCTTTCTCACTCGATTCTAAGATTCACCTTGATGTCGCATCCGGAGCGGCTGCAGACCTCGCGGATGGTCGAGCCAGCCTTCCCAATGAGGACACGGATCCTGTTTTGCGGGGGTGGTTCTACCGTCTCAGAGGTTCATAGGGTTTACATTGGGGTTGAGCCGGTCTTGCTGTTTGCGATGTTTACAGTGTTTAATGTCGAGTTTAGGGTTTCGGGTGTTGCGGAAAGTTGAGGGTTGTGTTGCAGGTGCATGTAGGGATTATGGTTTAGGCCCGCAGATGCAGGAGTGTTTAGGGCTGTTTAGGCAGTATAGGGCAGGGTTTAAGCTTTCCGCAGCACCGCTTTTGAGGGTTCAGGCATTAGGGCCTAGTAGGTTAAGTTCTCCTGTGAGAGACTGAAGCACCATTTATAGAGGGTGTTGGGATGAGGGGTGTGTAATTTTTCGGGTCTACGGATTTTGAATTGCGGTGTTTAGGCATGCTCTGCTTCGTAGGGCAACGCTAGGAGTTAGAGGAGTCACTCTAGAGATGTGACCAAGGGAGCTGCTTGCACAACATTTTAAGGTTTCGGGGTCAGGCAAAGTTCTACTTTGGACTTGTAGGACGAAACATCTATGCAGCAACAGCCAAGGATCAGGTGCGCCGGTAGCTCGATGACCTTGTGCCCCTTGGGTGCATTTGGGTCGTTCTTGTGCTTGGGAGCTCCGGTCGGGGCGGTTGCAGCCGCTTTTGGGGCATCGGATGACTTGAGCACCTGCATCATGTCCTGCATCCATGCAGGGGCATTGGCACTGCTTGAGCCACTTGTGGCCTCGTCCCACTTGCTCCGCTTCTCTGCTGACGCACCCGGCGCTCCGCCGGGCACGCTGCCCACGCTGGCGCTCGGCGCGCCGGGAACCGGCGGTGGCTCCACGAGAGAGCTCCGGCCGCGGCTCTTCTCGCGGCTGCGGCTTCGCTTCTTCCGCCGGGACCTGGACTTACTCCGTTTCCGTCCACGGCTCTTCCGCCTGCTGCGGCTGCGACTGGAGCTTCGCCTCTTACTCCGGCTTCTGTGACTGGAGCTCCCGCTCCGTTTACGGCTGCGACTTCGACTGCCGCTGCGGACCTTCTCAGGGATGTCCTTCATGAACTTGCTGAGGGCAGCCGAGGCTGCTGCTTTCACCTCAGCATCTGTCAAAGGAGCGCGTGAGGCTTGGGCCGCAAAGATGGGAGGCGGAGGTGGCGGTGGTTGCTCCATCATGGCAGGGGGGGGAACAAGGGGAGGGCCAGGCGGCAGATGGGGGTGCCCGTGAGGCACCGGGTGCGCATGTAAGGGGACTGTTATTTGGGGGAAAGCAATCGGCGTGCCGAAAGCCGTGGGCGGGTTGAGTGGCGGGGGAGGGGGAAGTTGCTCCATCGGAGTGAAAGGAGCCACGGGCGCCATCTGGAAAGCCGGCACTGCGGCACCGGGGACCTCAGTGATATGCCGTGATTCGCTCGATCGGCAGTCGGAATTGCAAGCGGAAACTTGGCGCTACTTGGTCGAGCGGCATTGAGAGGCGGAATGTTCGGCTCAGCCCACATGGCAGCGAACGGCACCCATTCAAGAGACCCTACCCTATATGTCATGTCCTTTGTATTAACCTTCAACATCCTTCTGAAAGCTGTAGTTGCCACAGCCACATATCTCAACACAAACATTTAGCAGCTCGCCCGGCCGAATTCTGGCTCAGGCAAGCATGAATCGCATGCTCCTCATATGCTCCTCATTACATGAAAGCAGGGACACCATACAGCTAGACGAGCATGCGAGCAGATGCATGGAACAGAATTCAGGGATCGATGTAGCTATTGCATGGAAGCAGACAGTGGAACGAACTTACGCATCTGCAAGGTACAGCAATTTTTCGCAAGGATGGCTTCAGCCCAGTGCTAAGCATGCTTCAAACAAGCATTTCAAACTGCTGGTGGAAGTCTGGCCCAGATGCGCAGACTTTGCCACCACAGTACCGCGAGGACATGCACCTCAGCACAGTAAATATCATGAGCACGTACAACTGTGAGCAGCCTCACTGTCTGCAGCACACAGCTTCTGATCTGAAACAGCTTGCCTTTTTGGCCCTGTGGCTGAACCCAAAAGCCACGAGAAGCCCGAGTCTCCTTTTTTGTCTTCATTGCAACGAAGGAGCAGCGGTGGCACGTCGAAAGTGGAGCCGGGCACAGCCAAGTTGACCGAGCCGGGCTGGACACAGGCGGGGCAGCATTGCTTTAGGTTCATGCATGAGAGTGCGGCATGCTGGGTTTGCCCTCTCTTCAATACTTTCTGGCGGTGGTACGCTAACTGGTGCCGCTCCGACATGTTCCTCGTGGTAAATCGCGCGAGTGTAAGTAAGTAAGTAAGTAAGTAAGTAAGTATGTATGTATGTATGCATGCATGCATGCATGTGTGCATGTGTGCATGTCAACGTATGCATGTATGTGCGTCAAGTATGTATGCAGGTATGTAGGTATGTAGGTATGTAGGTATGTATGCATGTATGTATGTATGTCCCTAATAGATCTACGCACATACATCAATGTTTCCATTGACACATATTACTTCTGCATTCGTCTGTATGCCCACACGCTACATGCGCGTGTGCACGCATGTTTTATTTGCAAACCTGCATGCCGCGGTATGTTGCGAAGGTATGCATGTGTACAAGTCTGCACACATGCATACATGCCGTGCATGTACTCTACGCGTGCCCTGCACGAAGCATATAGGCGTCGATGTGGCTCAGAACCACTCCCCAAACCCTAGCCCCCTAAACCCTAAACCCCTAACCCCGAAGCCCTGCAGCCCACCTGGAAAAGGTATTGGTCATCCGCAGGCTCCGCGGGCGACCTGAAACAGGCGATGCTCAGCGCCCGGCTTTCCAAAGTGGGTGCGAGTTCTGATAAAATATAATATAATATACTATACTATACTATATTGTACGTACTATAATATATTAATATAATATAATATGTCCTTGATGGCTCGGATTAAGGGGTGTAGGGGTTTGGAGTCATGCAGAAGCCTTGCAGCGTTGCAGCCGCAGACCCTTGATCCTAAACACCCCGGGCAACGTCTCCTCAAGTAGTTGTAGCCGTCGATCCCACAGGGCAAGCCAGTCTCCACCTCCTGGAAGCTTGGGAGTCGTGGGTTTAGGCTTTTAGGGTTTAGGCTCTCAGCTCGGACCCTCGAAACGGGCTAGTAACAACCTAGCCTGCTTTTCATGCACGAAAGCTGCTAAGAGAATTTTTGATCCTTCCCATGCTGTGAATCTGAGTGACACTGAAGGAGAATCGAAATTTGCTGAGGGTTGGAGGCTGGGCAGGTAGACTACCCTGTCCTGGAAGTAGTAATTCAACTTTCCAGGAAAGACGCCGGAGATGCCTCGGAACATTCTGGAGCATCCCACTGCGAAGCCGGAGGCCCACAGGTTTGCGGCATGCGCTTGGGTTTCAGATTGTATGATATGATATGATATTATATTATACTATATTATATTATATATTATTATATTTTATTAAATATTATATATAGGTGTTCTCGGCTGGAGGTTGAGAACAAGCTGCCCCACTTGTGGCACGCGCGCGACAAGATTTGCTCCTGGCCCAAGTAAACGAGGTTGCCCGTAGCGTTGCTCACCCAGCGCGGCCCAACAGGTCCTGACGCAGGTCACGCATGGAAATTTGCGGAGCAACTGAAGCCTGGCATGCCCTAAGCTGCAATGTCGAAGAGCGCACCTCCGCACTCGTAGGATCCTGTGGTATAGGTGCAGCATTTGCAACAATCCTTGGAAGGACTGCCTGAAAATGCAGACCAGGCCGACAAAGACCCAACGGCCAGTGACATGACTTCCTGCTTGCACAGCCGAGTGGCTTCAACCTTTGGGAAGTACAGGTAGCGAAAGCCTCCGGTCGTCCTTATATCGTCATTCCGGCTCAAGCAAGACATCCCCCAAAGCCCATAGGCTGGACTCCGGATTGCTTGCCCTCTGTATGGAGGTCTACAGACTATCCCTGGCTTCCGACTCCGGAACACCCCTCAAAAGTTCCTGATATGCATGGTCGTGTTCACCAGGAGAACCAGAAGCAGAAGTGCACGGAAAGAACCAGAAAACGCCTCCGAAGCAATCCGAAACTCTTCGGATTTCTGCGCGGCGAAATGCTGTCCGAGGATCAGTTGCTCACAAGAGGTGTTGGTGTGGTAGTAGGAGCACAAATGATCTGGGGAATCAGGTCAAAGCGACTCACAAAAGCAGACCTGCCTTAATAACAGTTATAAGTACCTAGAACTAATTAACCCCTAGAAAACCTGAAAACCCTAAAACCACTGAAAGGGGTCGCTTTGCCTCTACTGCCATCTGCGAAGGTGATTCGGGACGCACCAACCGTGGGTCTCGTGTCACTGGCGTAGTAGCCTGCCAGCAGCACACGTGAAACTCTGAAGCGCCACCAATGGCAGGGCTATTGGGCCTTGCTATCTGGCTTCTTTGACTCTAACAGCCACGGCAAGCATTTGCTTGTGGGGACTATGACTACGACCTAGAACTTGGGACGCTGAGCTCGAAGACACACATTACAACTGCTCTGCCGCCTGTAGTTTGCTTGTCGTCCGAGGAGTACACCGCCCGGAAGGTGCTAGGCCAATGAGGCTGCGGCGCGGCACCTGTCTGGTGCTGTGGAGAAAATTTCCAACGCATTGACAAAATACACATATTGTACTGTCGTGTTCTCATGTTACTTCGGCCCTCAACATATTACGTGCCTATGCTCCCGCACATTACTCTGCAGTACTCTCTATTTCCGGAGCACCAACTCCCTGAAGCAGCAGCCATGCGAGGCAGGCGTTCATCGCAACCCCCATTGGGTCGTTCGGATAGTTGAGCGGTTCTTTGAGATGTTGAGCATCGAGGTCAGCTTAAGTCGTGAACTGGTTTGTTCTCCTGTCGCTGTCGGCTTGGCTCAGCAATCGTCGCCAAGGTCTGAGTCTGAGAACTGAGCACACAGCTGCCGATGCACTTTGAAAGACTGCCTTAGAGTCTTTAGAGCTCTGGATCTGGAACTTGCTGTGCAAAGGACGGGCTGCGAATGCATGCAACACGACAGCATTTCTCTCGCGAGGGTTGCATCTGCTCGAACTATCTCGAAATACTGCGTCTAGTCGGGACGCCTTTGACTTCCTCAAAGCATCGGACTCCGAAACAGCGACGGCCTTGCATGCAACAAAAAAGTCTGCCATCACGGCCCGCAAGTCAATCGCTTGAAACTGCGAGGCAGTCGCTGAATCTGAAGAGGGCACGGACCCTCTGCAGTCCCCCCCAAGGCCTGAGGGCAGCCACTGGTCCTTCAAACTAAACTAGACACTTGCACACTGGGGCAGCGCAGCTGCATTCTCCACAAAGCCCGAAGGGAAAATGCAGCTGCTTGGTGCCGGCACAAGGCGGCAACTCCCTTGAATTCGCTAACAGGCCACGGTTCAAACCTAGCAAAAATGCTCTTGCGCTGTTCGCTTGACCAGTTGAGCAATTGGGGCTCACAGGTGGCAAGCACGCGCTTTTCGCGTTCGCTCAGCAGCACAGAAGGCGAGTCTCATCCGGATTGGGTGCCGATGTGCACACCGCGGTCCTGCCATAAACTGTCAAACGTCAAATCCAAGGGGATGGCAATCTGCAGGCCGCCCGAAGTCCAAACCTTCCTCAAAGGCTTTTTTAAACAGCTGGGAGCAAGAGCGTTACGCAAGTCACTGATCAGCTAGGCATTCTCTGCAGGGTTTGGCGCGGAGTGTTTCCTTTTCTCCCTTCTCTGGCATTGCGCACCCAGCCGCTTTGCGGCGAGACGGGAATTTAGCCGATAAACCTGGCACTTAGTGCAAGGGTTGAAATTCAACCTGGTGCCTGCATCAAACAGGGCAGCACCGCGCTCGACGTCCACACAGTAGTGAACGTTGCACTCTATCGATCTTACAAGTGCAATTAAATTAGTAAGCTGCTGCGTTGGGCTTCGAGCTGTGTTGCATGCCGGGACTGCTGAGCCCCGAACTTTGAATTCAAACACCCCCGACCGTGAGCTTGCAATGCAAGGTGTGATGAAAATTGGACCCATGCTCGCTTTGCATGGCCTGCGGGTAGCAGTATAACAGGGACTGCCTCCGTTTTTAAGACCAGTCTCAACACTTCGTTCTGCTGTCAACATAGCTGAGGACGACATGGGATGATATACTATCAGATATAGACATGCCTTAGATGACATCAACCTCACATAATTAATCGAACTCCTGTACCGAGACCTGCCCTATGCAAGCGCTCGGGAAGGGCTTTCCGGAACGTGCATCGGGTGAGCACTGTTCCGCGAGATGCTGTACAAGGATAAATAGTGTAAAAACTAGCACGAGAAAGAAGAAAAGTCAGAGTAGCCGTCGTAGTAAGAGTCGTAATCACAGTAGTTATGTTGCAGTTACACAGGTAACCATCGTCTCAGAAGCACCGATGTCGCCTCGTCGCGTGAGCTGACCGCCTGCAACTTGCGATGTTCCTGGTTATGATTGCGAGTCTTTTGTAGCAACAGCACGACAAAACAACCCTTGATTGTTCGAACCGGGAGGGCGTCCGGCAGTGCTATCGACATCGCCGTAGAAGCCCTAAACCCTCAACCTCTAAGCTTATTCACCCTAAAAATCCTCAACCGTTTCTCCGGGCACCCACCCCAAATGCATGCCGACACCCTTTCTCCCACAAGCAAGCAAAGCAACACTACGAGCAACACCCATGATTATGATAACGAAGACAATGAGCCGCACTGGTTGCTATTTTGTATCCTGAATCTGAAAAGGGGAAACCCCCCCCCCCCCCCCCCCC